ACTGGGCAAACTTGAGGAGACGGTAGGCTCGAAGATGGCAAACCGTATATCATTGAGAAAATAACTATATCGCCTCAAGAAAGCAAATTCGCTCGGCAAAATATATGTTTTTCTGAAAGTAGAGATTCTGAGCAATCGAATGCTACAAAGAAATTCACATGTTACCGGGCAAACCTGAGGGTACCGGTACTTTGAAAATTGTAACGCCTATAGTGCTATATTAATGTATAATATTGATCTATAGAGATGCAATGTGTTTGAATGAGTGGCTCTGCGCTAATTGAGATGGCTTTAGAAAAATAACAATATTTCCTCAAGAAAGCAAAATCACCCGGCAAGATATATGTTTTTCTGAAAGTAGAGTTTCTAAGCAATCGAATGCTGCAAAGAAATTCATATTTTACCGGGCAAACCTGAGGGTACCGGTACTTTAAAAATTCTAACGCCTATAGTGCTATATTAATGTATAATATTGATCTATAGTGATACAATGCATATGAATGAGCGCCATTGCACTAATAGAGACAGCTTTAAGGAAATAGCTATATCTCCTCAAGTAAACGAAATTGCTCAGCAATGTACATGTTTTTCTGAATCTAGAGGTTCTATGGAATGAAACAGTGTACAGAAATTGATATGCTACAGGGCAAATCTGAGAGCGAGTTTCTTGTTATTATTACCAGCAATCTTTTGGAACTGCATCAAATATGAACAAATTAATTCGATCACTTTCAACTTCGTTCATGCGATTAATGTCCATTAAACATTTGATTGGATCATCGAAACAATTTTGTCGTTTGAAAGTAGACCAGTGATGAGTCAGAAATATCGAGAATCATCAATGTACGATCATCTATAAGGCATTCGAGTTTTTTGATGCCATCACGCACTAACTCTGAAAAAGCAACAACTCTATGCCAAATGGGCAAAAAGCAACAAACACAAAAAGCAAACACAAACAAAACAACTGAATGCTATCGAGATATCATTAAACGATTCATAAATCCATGTTTGTCCGCCGCACTTTTCAGTCGATTTTCTGGTTATCTGATTAGCTTGCCGTTGAATAATCAGATTCAGAAACATAGGAGTACATATCAGAAGTGCGACAGATGCTAAATTTAATCAAGAAATTAACTTTCCCAACACGTCGCTTATTCCCACAATTCGCGATTGTATTTGTTATGCCCAGATAGCGCACTCAAGATTGTATTTCTTCATAATTAAATTTAAACCGAGTCATACAATTAAACATCGTCTGAATCATTCGCTCACAAATATAATCATTTGTATCGAAGCACTTTATTTAATCGACTATTGATTTTGCCTTTTGTAAAGAATATCAGTTTCTGTTACTGAAAAATATAAATCTTTATCACGCTATTGGTTTTTGTTCGAATGGCTTGAACAATTAACAAACAACATCAACACGGAAGCTAGTGGTTTCACGCGATCCGCTTCTGTCTACCGAACAAATCATTTCATATTGCCGTACCTATTAAGGCTATATATTAAGTCTACTAAATCTATCTAATATAAATCTGAAAATATGAGCATCGAATAGAACAACGCTTTACTACTTTTACTACTACTTTTTAACCTCTAAATTTTACTACTTTTAGCTTGTCTTATCAGAGTTCGCTGTTTGTTTACTGAAATCCGTCAAATTAGGGAGAGATTGTGAGCACTTTTCCCGAGCGTATTCGGCAATATTTAATTGGGAAATTAGCCGAATATGGTTTGCAATTTATAAGTGTATAAGCATTAAGATGACATGTTATAATTGACTGTCTGATGGTGATTGAGTTTACGAAACATTAAGAATTTCAGGATTATGCACGATTTATTCAAGGGATAATTGCGAAAAAAGAAGAACATGGACCAATGACAAAAGAGATTTATGTGGCCATAAAGGAGCTTTGGGCTGATAAAGGCGTACAGGTGGCGTTTGCACGCAAGGATGAATACTACCTTAACGATTCAGCAAGATAGTAAGCTCACACAGATATTTCCCTACAAAGTCCTTCGAAACCTCTGAGTTTCCTTTTCTGCCACCATTCAGCAGTTTTTCTGTTTGTGTGATGGCGAAAATGTATATGTGCAATTCAGATCGTAATCTAAGAATTAGACAGTTCGCTCGATTGTACAATATGGTGAAGGTCCGTTATTTCTTCGCAGATTGAGTCTTTTTGTGCTAAAATGATCGCCATTTGTATCACCATTAGCTTCAGAGGGTAAAATCATTAGGCTTAAAAGAGTCACTGTTTTGATTCATATTTCACGTTTGGCTGTTTCAGTTTTCTGGATTCATTGGACCGCATTTACGACCCTAAATATGTACCTACTGAACAAGACATTCTTCACACTCGAGTCTCAACGATGGGTGTTATTGAGGTGACGTTCACGATGAAGAATAAAGTGTGGCGGTATGTTTACACATATATTTATGGTATCCTTTAATATTCCATGCCAGTTATCTGATGAGGATGAATCATGCGGGTAAACATCAACAAGTGGTGACAGTTTTCCACTAAATAAAGTTCGCTGATGAGTCAGGGACTCGTCTCTTTAAGTCATCGACACAAATTCTTATTTTGGGTCGTGAGAATTCGCCGACTGATTGAGTTGATCTCTGGAA